GTAGTAGTAGTTAGTAGTGGTAGTAGTAGTAGTAGTAGTAGTAGTAGTAGTAGTAGTACTAGTAGTAGTCGTAGTAGTAGTAGTAGTAGTAGTCGTCGTAGTAGTCGTAGTAGTCGTAGTAGTAGTAGTAGTCGTAGTAGTCGTAGTAGTCGTGGTAGTCGTGGTAGTAGTGGTACTACTACTAATAGCACGGACAAGTTTAATAATATTTTTCGTACTGTTAAGGGTATTACGATTCAGAATGAGAAGAAGAGCACTATTAACAAATCGTATGACTACTGCGGGTAAGATTGTGAAGCGGAAGAAGACGAACAATACGTAATACGAATAAAACTGTTAACAATAATAGCAATACGAATGATAATATTATGAATAATAATGAGAAGAAGACGAGGAAGAGGAGGAGGAGGAGGAGGAGGAGGAGGAGGAGGAGGATCTGGGGGTGTGGCCCTCACTCTCGCCAGGGGCAGCTCAGCATGGCTCGGGCCTCTGCTCTGCCCGTGGCGCGAGGCAAGCCGACCCTTGCCCCGAGGACCGCGTGTGCGGAGGCGGCGGCGCCGACCCTGCCGCAGGCGCGCCAACCGAGGCGCCCACGGAGCCGCCCACGGAGCCGCCCGCGGAGCCCCCCACCGACGAGCAGCCCGATGCCGCGGGCGAGGAGGCGGCGGCGCAGGGCGACGAGGCGGCGGCGCCCGACGAGCCGTCGGAGTCGTCGACGCCCGCGCCGCGGACGGTCGCCGAGCAGCTGGAGGTGCCCGGCTGGGCGGTGAAGGTCGCGGGGCGGTGCCTGGAGGTCGCGGGCGAGGAGTTCCGGGGGCAGAGGCGCCAGGGGGGGGGGGGTTCGGCGCATCGGCCACCCCGTCGCCCACTCCTCGCGGACAGGGGCCCGGTAGCCCACTCCGCCCAGGAACGTGTGGCTTCGCTATTGGGCGCCTGTCGCCGATGTGTCGGCGATGTATCGCCGGGTTCGGGTCGATGGTTCCCCTCTTAGGCTTGCCCAACTTATCACTGCCCCTCGGAGGAACCCGAGAACGGTGTGGAGCTGCTGCTGCGCGACTGTGCAGCGGCGTCGGTTCGGCAGCAGTTCAGCTGGGAGAGTAGCCTGTCCAAGGTCCGCTGGGCCGCGCACCCTGCCCTGTGCCTGGACGTGAAGGAGCACAACTTCACCTCGGGCACGCCGGTCCAGCTCTGGGAGTGCCTGGAGGAGGACGAGGACCAGGTCTTCGACATCAGCGTCGGTGGCCTCGGCTCCGAGGAGGGCGCCATCCGCTCCCACGAGTACCCGCAGTTCTGCCTCTCGGCCGGGGCGCGTGCGGACGGGCTTGAGCTCGCCTCGTGCCGTACTGGCGCGGCGGCGCAGAGCTTCTCCGCCGGCCAGGAGCGGGCGCCATCCGCGTGGACCACAGGGGCGCCGGGCAACGCCACGGCGGCAGGGTCGCCAAAGGTCAGCGTCCGACAGCTTCCGGCCGCGGACCCCACGGCTTCGGCAGCAGCGCCGCCGCCTCCTCCGAAGCCCAAACCGTCCGCGCCTTCGTGGGACACGGGCGTCTACAAGGACAACCCCTTCGGCTCCGCAGCGCCAGCGGCGGCGCCGCCAGGGGCCCGCCACACAGGCCCAGGGTGCCCAGACGAGGGCGGCGGCAACTACAAGTCGAAGTGCAAGCTCCAGCTCGCGGACCACATCATCGCCGAGTCCGCCGCCGTCCTCAAGAACGCGGGCGGCGTGCTGCCGCTGCCCAGGGGCGCCCGGGTGGCGCTCATCGGCTCCGAGGCCTGCGCCAAGGACCCGCTGGCGCAGGTAGGGGGCCACATGCGAACCCTACCCCTACCCCCCACGCTTTCTGAGGGGGAGGGTGGGGTTCACTTCGTTCGGGAGCTCCCGGCGAAGTGAACCCCACCCTCCCCCTCAGAAAGCGTGGGGGGTAGGGGTAGGGTTCGCATGTGGCCCCCTAGCAGGGCGGCGGCAGCGGCTGGAACGGCTTCGCGTGCAACGAGGTCCCGAAGGTGAACGTCAAGGACGGTGGTCGGTCGGCCACCCCCTTCGGAAGGGCGGGCCGCGGCCGAGGCCACGGCGGCCCTCCCCTGGCGTTTTTTTTGTGTTGCCTTTCCTGGGCCTCCTGGTGGCTCGCCGGCGCCATGGCTGGCTCCGATCGGAGAGGCACCCTGACCGTCCAGGAGGGCAAACAAAATAGCACCCGCCCTAAAAACCTCTCCTAGAGCTATCCTACGTCTCGGTTTTGGGTTGCTTCGCTCGGCCTATTAGGTTTTCAGGCCTCCAGCGCTAAAAAGATAGCTCTCTGGAAGGTCAGGGCAGGAGCCTGGGGGCCGATGCTGGGCGGGGCTATGGCCGGGCGGGAGGGCCGCCCGGTCTCGAGCGACCCTCCTCCGACGCCCGGGCCAGGGGCGGCCAGGAGCGGCCGGGCGAGGGGTGATGGCCGGGGAAGGCACGGGTGGGGCCCCGCAGGCCGTGGTCGCGGCCAGGAGCCCGGGCGGCCCCCGC